GAAATGTTCTTTTTCGCCATGCCTGCGCAGCACTTCCATTCGTTTGCGAGGCCATTGCAGGCCTCCGCGCTATGGCAGGAGAGTCGTATCCAGATCCAGTGCGGGTCGTGACTGTAGGCTGGCTTGGGGCTGCGGCTTGGGTGTTTGACTGGTTGTCGGATGCGACAGCTGATTGACTGTGATTCCAATCAGGGTTTGATTGTTTCTCATGACTGCTGCAGTCCTGAGAACTATACATTTGACAAGTGACATCAATTGGCACTTATGGGCAATCATCAATTTCATCCAATCACAACTGCCAGCAGCAGTGGCATGCACACACACACACACACTTAGGACACACGCACGCACTATGAAAAGTGATTGCGAGCGACTCTTCCAATTAGGATCAGTTTGGTTTTCGAAGTGAAAGCTTTCATTTGTTCAGGTCGTCCGATCGACAATGTCCTGGAAGATCCCGGCTCTGAGAAATGGATGTCACAGTCCGTTGAGTTTTGTCCCTCGGAGTGGTTGATGCACAGATCAGCTCAAGGTCTTCTGATCAGACTGATATTTCATCATATGTTTTAGTTTTTTGTCTCGTGGGTTTTGGAGAGTTGAATTATTGTTATTATTTATCCGCCGTTGGCGTGTTCCGCCGGCCACTACGGCTAGGGCGTGTTTGGTTCTTCAAAGAATGAGAGCAGAGATGGGAAATACGGTGCAAACCGTGGTGTGGTGCAAACGGTGGCGGTGTTGTGTAAACGCTGGTTGGTGTAAACATGTGTAAACCTTAGTTTGGTGTAAAGGGTGGTTGGTGTAAACGGTGGTTGGTGTAAACCATGGTTTGGTGTAAACGGTGGTGGGTGTAAACCGTGTTTTGGTGTAAACGGTGGTTGGGGTAAACCGTGGTTCGGTGTAAACCGTGGTTGAGTGTACATGGTGGTTGGTGCAAACCGTGAGCAACATGCTTTTAAGCCATGGCAAAACGCTGTGAAGTGCAGGCAAAACACAGGCAACGCGCGTGCAGAACGACGAAGGCGAAGACGAAGACAACAACGTGCAAAGCGGGGGCATGGAGGGAGGGGGGGTAAGGGGGGGGTTTAGTCGAGGCAAAAATCCGCACAGAGGAGCAATCTAAACGATGAACAACTTTAGTACTAGACAAGACAAGTACAAGTACGAGCACATCCACAAGACACGCCGGCAAGCCGGCGGATTGACTTGACACTTTTTGCGATTTGGTTTGGGATCAATCTATAACCGATGTGTCGAATCCTTCCACACGCCGGGGCCGCTGATCTTTTTGCGGACAGCATCATTCGTGACATGTAGTGATTCGGCCGGATGGTCCACAGCAGGGCCTTTTTTATGGCCTTCTCACCAACGTCCTGGACTGGCCGCACCTTAGGTGGTGGAACGCACATCTCCCAAACGTCCGAAGCAAAGCACTTCGTGTTGTTGGAAGAGAAAGGCCGGGAAAGACGTGCGCGATCCAATGAGCCTCGTGCTGTGAGATTTTTGGATTCAAGCGGGTGCTACAGAAATCATGCAGAGGAGCATGCATGGCCCTTCCCATTACACCGCCAAACAGGTACTGTAGTGCGTTAGGTCCTTTGGTTTTTGCACTGAACCTGACCAGCTGACATCAGCTGACAGTTCCCCGGAGGCATTGCAAAGTCTGTGAGACGAATCATTGCGGCCACTGGGGAAGTGGCGCAAGGAGCTTTGCAGGATGGGCGTGGAAGAGAAGCGAATGATTTTCTGATAAACAAACGGTGCCATCAGATACTCACAAGCTTCCTGACGCTTCATGCAATGCTCGCATCAAATGTAGGAATCAAAACAGATGGAAAAGAGGATGAAGGAGCTGGAAAACTCCAAGGTGGAGGAGAGCAGACAAGTCCACAGAACATTGTTTTTGTGTCGTGATGTTCATCGCTGGATGCCCCTTGAATGACGTCATGTGCGCAGTGACATCCGGCGTGCCTTTTCTTTATTATATATTGTGTCGCATCAAGCAAGTCAGCCGTGCAAATGTGTGGGACAATTCGCTAGTCAGCCTCATTGGTTCGATTGCTAATCCAACTCCTGTATTTGACTCTTCTTTCATGACCTACATGAAGCAAAACGCTGATCAGCTTTGGTGAGGAAGATGCTCTCATGACCCTCCAGCGCAACCTCGACACTTTGGTTCTCCCGGCCGTGCCGAGGGCACAACTGCGAGATCGCCTTGGACAATTGAGGAAGCAGTGCCTTGGGCAGCCGTGTTCAGTTTGGTCAAAGACAAAGATAGACCTGACATGCGGCTGAGGAAACAGCTTTTGGATCTTTTTGGGTTGACACTGATGGATAAGCTGCATGCAGAAAGCAAAACAGAAGTAAACAAAGCAGGCAAACCTGGAAAGAGGCAAGGGATGTTGTGCCGGCTTGTGTGATGCGAGGTTGAAGAAGAAACAAAAGAAGAACAAAAAAGGCAAAGCGAGCAAAGAGGAGCAAGCAGCCGCGTTTGCAGAGCTGAAGCAGGCAAGGTTCTGCAACGCCTTGCTCTTGGTGCTTCAAGTCAGGAATGTACTGTATATATATATATATAAACATATATAAACAGACTCACGGACTGATTTGTCGCTACGCACCGCTCTGGACCAACTGCTGGCACAGACCATTCGCACTAGCCAATAGTTTTGTAAAAGGGGTGCATGAATCTACTCATTCGGAATCCATTGGATCCTTTTCAGGAGTGGTTTCAAATGTCTAGATGCTTTTGCGTGCGTTGCTTGCACGATCGTCCAATTTGCCGTGTACGTGTACGTCACCAGGCAGTTGCAGAGGCAAAAAGCCTTGGTATGAACTATTGTGTGAAGATTTTCCACGGCCCAGGCAGGAAAAGGGGCTGCAGCCAGATTGTTGTTCTTGATTAATACAAGTCTTAAAGTCTTAAATAATATATATATATATAAAGACTATAAAGACTTAAGACATTGTTTGAGAGAGACATCAGTCTATATTAATATTTCGGTTGGATGGTTGCGCCTCTCTCAGCAAGTGTTTGTAAAAAATAAGCATGTGTTCTCCAATGACGGAGTCAATGACGGAGTTGCCTTTGGCTAGCGGCTAGCCAAGACTGTCAGAGTCAGAACAATTCCATACAATTCCCATTTCACCACGTAATTCACCTCTCACTTTGCATACAGTGGAACTGTTCAAAGTAGCAGGGACAGGCTCCGCCTGTGCCTATAGCCTATAGTAGATTCTGATTGTTTTCTTGCTAATGTTGCTTTCGAGAGGAGTGTCATTCCTGACGTTGGAGATTTTGGAGATATAAGCACCGGTTGTGTGTGTGTGTTTCTTTCTTGTTGAGAGATTCTCACGCGTTCCGGCGAAGCTTCCCTTTCAGGCGTGGACGGCAAGACTTTGCGTGAAGCAGCATCATCGGACAGTGCGATGATGGATATCGCGGTGATGGTGTTGAACCAATCCAGCCTCTTGGACTTTTATGTACCTTTGTCAATGAGCCGCAATCGAACTTCTTTTCTCCAAGGAGTCTCAGGAAGCCTCATGAGGCCCTGAATCCTGCTGAACAACTGTTTCAGAGTAGGATCTAGGCCAAAGGTTTCAATGCGAATCTCTTTGAAATTTGCTCAATTCTTCCGACTTGCAGAACCTTACCAAAGAATAGAGCCGAGGCGCTGATTCGCTCGAATGCCTGGCAGCTGTACCAGAGGTGCAGCACTCTGACAGACCAGCTGGCAAATGGGTGCAGGTGGGAGCGACACAAGTGGGAGACTTGAAAAGCAATGTGTTTGTTAAAGGTTCTTCTTAAGGCCCGACTGCTTTCATTAAGTAGGCGTCTACTCAATTAAGTAAGGGCTAAACAAACTACTAGGATCTACTAGGTATTAGGTAACCTGCTACTAGCGAACGGACGGAGGATAGCGCTCGCACTAATCATTTGGTTCCTAGACAACCGGGGGCACAGAAAACTTTGGAGATAACAGGCTAGCATCGAAAAGAGCAGAGTGCATGGAGCATGGGAGCATATGGGAGCACAATGCAATCCATTTCGTATGTGCCGACAAGTAGATGCAACGTCATGCCTTGTGGAAAAGCCGATGCCACATCACCAGGCAGCTCTTGCAGCAGTAGGTGGTAAGGGTGGAGGGCAACCGCGCCTTGGACGGCAATCGTTTTTTATTAAGCAAGCCGCCAAGGTGTCATGCGCATTGCGCACTCAATAACGTGACAAGTCTCGATAACATTGTGGATCTTAAGCTGCTGGGGGGTTACAAGGGCTGAGTGATTTATGATTGCGTCGCCAGAAGTGAAGCGCTGTATGTGTGTATAGATGAGCAAACACTATACCGACACAGCTGTGTTTGTTGCCACACTTTGACGCATTTTTGAGCCATATGGCCCTCTGCGGGACGGAGTGCTGCCAACCCCATGCATTGAACAGCATTTGCTGAATTCTGCCGGTGTTTCAGTTTACTCAGTGATGTTCTGCCCAGATGGCGCAAAAACCAAGGGCCTTCGCACAGGGAGCTGCAAAGGGCACCAAGGCTGAGGCCCTACAGGCAGCAGAGAAGGCTGCGAAGAGCTTCGCATCGAAGTGATCAGCGCTTGTTTTCTGACCTTAATCTCACTAGATGATAGCTTGCAGTTCACAACGTGCAAATGCAAGCAGCAGGTTTGCTTGGGTTGCCTGGCGACGGTTATCATTGCAACATGTTCGGTGCAAGCTGCTAGCTACCGTGACCATCAGAATGTTTTATAAAGCACTTGTGGCCTCCTCAGGCAACCCGCGGGCCCCAGCCTGTGTGTTCAAAGGGCACCGATCGGTTTGATATTGTTCCAATTTTCGCAAAGATATGTTCATAGATTTTCAGCGCTTTGCAGCGCACCCTGCTCAGAAAATCCGACCATTGGAGGCTGCAAAGCACACTTGAACAGTTCAACCAAGGTCGCTTGCCATGGACACGAGAGTTCTTTTTCTGTGCCGGTTTTATGAATTGGTTCCTGAGGACATTCTGCTCATGGGAGGAGTTGGCCAAAAGCTTGATGAAAAGCTTGAACTGTCGAATGATGCATGCAGCATGCATGGATGTTTTTCTATTGCGCGTCACTGAACCATGCGCGTGGCCCACCAAGCGCGTTGATTGAGGTGAATCTGGTCTTTTGAATGATGTGTGGCGATGGACCCGAAAGTGAGGGTCCAAGAGTCAATGTTGCCAAGGGTGAGTCATGAGGGTCAAGGGCAGTCGCTCCGGCAAAGTCATGCAAAGTCATTCCGTCAACTGTCGACAATCCTCGGGTGTTTGCATCAAGGCGTTGCACATTACTGGAGGACATCCGACCGCTCGAAGCTGCAAGGAGCGCAATGTTGCACAACAGCCTTCAACTTTGTGCTCAAAGCATCCGAAGTCGCAGAAATCCTAGTATTAAGGCCAGGAGCCCCTAGTAGCGTCCTTGCTCCTAGTAACGATGCCAGGAGCCCCTAGTAGCGTTTTAGAAGACGCCAAAAAACAGTTGCCCTTGCTACCCCTAGCGTTGCCCTTCCTACTAGTAGCGATGCGCTTGCTACTAGCTGCTACTAGTAGCTTCTAGTATAGTATAACAATGTTGAAGCAAAACCGGCGTCGTATATGTTTCACAAGACGATCAGCCAAACATATATAATGTTCCTCGTGTGTTGCAGGAAAGCTTTGATAGTGGCACTGATATATCAAACCAAAGCATTCAATCATTTGTTAGGGCATGCCAGGGCACTTCTAGGGCAGTGCGGCAGTGTGCGTTCTGTCGCTCGGAGCAGGTTTGGATTGGAGTGCAGCTACAAGTGTAGAGCTCAGTAGAAGGAAGATAAGGAAGCACGATGAAACAAGTGGGGGGGGGTAGGACAGGCATAAATCAAACATGTTTCCGTGCGTTCATCTGTGCAATGCGCAGGTGCCGAGATTCTCCCATATATGGCCAATGGGCACAACTCCTGTCTGGATCTTACCAATGGAATCCCAAACATGTTCTGAAGATTTCTGAAGTGAATATCGTGTAAACACCGAGGGATGCCCCATGGGCCCCAAGAGAGGAGCTCATGATTTTTTTCTACATGAAACCGTGGACAAATGACCTTCAATGACATGTTTTGATGTCAAGATCTGACAAAAATAAAATGTTGGTGCTATTTCCGTTTAATTGCTGCAGTTGGCACAGTCTCAGCCGGCAGGAACCAGCAGCAGTATTGACCACCAGTGGAGCGGGGACCATTCAGCGCCGGTTGATACACATTGTTGTGATCGTTTTTTAGCATACCTCATTTTGGTTGTACAGCTGAGTTGGTTGATGTTTGTGACATTGCGATCGTGATTGTGAAATTCTGTGTTGGCATACTGAAGTTTTTTGACTCTGTTGTATTTTGCATCAACCTTCTTAAAGAATGCTTTAGCCATCAAAATTCAGGATTGCGGTTATTTAAATAAAATTGTTTTGGCAGCATCCACTTTTGGTCCAGTCCTTGTGTGTGGTGGTGCGTGTTGGCTGGTTTTCTGTTTAAACTACCGGCCATGGATCTCAACCGGCCTTTCAAAAATAAGAAATGTAAAGCATTGGCGGGTGGTAGAAATCCGGGCGAGCGCCGGTAAGGTGATCCTTGCAGGAGGTGACAGGGGAGGGAGAGACAGACAGTGTAAGGAGACATCAATTTGTGTGACGGAGAAATTAAGAGCATTCCTTCTTGCAGCTGTGGCTTTTGTGGAATATAAATCCAATATACATGCATTGCTGTTTTGCTATCTATTGTGTGCCTATTGGATATGCCGGAGTGCGTCTCGAGAACGTAGGAGGACTAAGGCTAAGTATAGCGACGGACATCCACTGAGAACATAAAAAGTTCCAACATCTAAAGCCTGTTAAGTAGAACTTAGAGCCAAAAAGATTTTTTTTTACAGAATCCAGGCCTAGAACATTGCCATGTTCTTAGTGATTGAGTTAGAACATGTTCAAATCCCTGTTTCTTAGAACATCCCCCCTTACTTAGAACATCATTGTTAAGCATGCAGCCGAGAGTCTGCAGACAAGCGCATCTCGACAGAGTGTATTCATCAACTGTGCATTCTCTCGTGGACAATTTTCCTCAATGTTCTATCTCATTACTTAGAACGTTGCAGTGTTACAATGTTCTTAAAGTCTTAGCCTTAAGCTTATAACATCCCTTACCTGGAGATTTTCCAAAAGATGTTCCAAGTGGTTGTCCGTCACTATAGAGTAGATGGTCAGTCGCAGTCGCATTTCATTTGGATGTTTGGATGGAGCTAGGAACCTGACGCTTGCCAGGACGGGCAGCTCTGGGATACACCAATGATGTGTGGCCACTTGGTGGCAGGTAGCCCTCCCCCCCAAAGAATAGGTTTCAAGAATGCGATTCAATAAATCTACAATTTTCTTTTCTATATGCAGTATGTAAGTAATTAAGACGGAACGACAACCGTTTCAACCAAAGCGGTGCACAAGGTGTCGTAGCCCGGCATTTTCGAAAAACAACTGAGGCTTTGGCAGCACTCTGGAGACTTTTGCAGCGCGCAGTGGCAGGCGGGCAGAGCCTGGTTGTAAGTTATAAGAAGTCAGCCAGTTTTCCAGATGGTTGCTACATACAGTACATTGTACAGGTAGGCCAGCATTACTTTCGGGGGCACAGCTATCATGCATTCATTGTATAGACGGGGCGGCAATACCAAATCTTTACATTTCACACCAGCTTCATTTCATCATCAAGGGTTTTTTGTTTATGAGCCTTAATAACCATCAGGGAGCAGCTGTTACTTGTCGAACAGCCCAATGTGCAGCTATTGGCGAATCACAGTCTCTAGATATTTTAGTCCATCTCAATCATCTCAGGTTGCTCAGGATTTTTGAAGCGTCGTGTATGGATGAAGTGACAAGGGTTCGGATGTTGTGGAATCCCCCATAGGCTTTCCTCTTCGAAACAAACGCGGCTTCGCCCCAGGGTGTGTGGAGCCAGTTGACACCGCAAGCGTCATGGTTGCCTCGTCATGGCCATCGCCTGGCGGGGTTCTGTGGAGTGGGCAGTTGGAGACATCATCGTGCGTGTGGCAGAATACTACAGTCATTAGATTAGATGTCATTATGTAGTAGATTGTATTTGATATATTTGATTGCGCTTTTGTTAATACGTTACATCATAAATCTTCATAACCATTGTCCAAAGGTGTCCCATATGCAGTTTGCAGCAAGAGTATGCATTCAGGACTCATGGTCTACGATATGATCGCAGCCTGTTGCGATCAGGTGGGTTTCGCTGGAGAAACGGGCGAGGTGGAAACCGTGCGGGACCCAAGGGGAGGGAGATTAAGGATTGATATGGATTGACCTTTCATTGTGGGAATGTGTGGCGGTGATACAACCTGAGATGACCCATTCAACAAGAATGGAATTTGTACAATAACTTGTTCGAAAGGTGTCTCTTGGATGGCGATAGACTTGCCGCATCTTGCACTGAGTCATCCGTCCGGTGTGTCAGGTTGTCGTCACATGTCGTAATTTGGAGCAGCAAGTGGTAGGGCAATTAGCATGCTCTCGATGGACCTTTGGAAACATTATCCCAAGTGGGTAGCTTTGTGTATTATCAAGGGAGGAATAAAAGACAATACGGCCCCCTTCAATACAGGGCCTTCTATGACAAATTTGCTGTTTTGTTTTCTTTCCTTCATTTATAAATTATATGAATTTTCTCCGCTCAGGTACTTCTAGTGGGTGGCTTTGGTGGCGAACCCTTCAACAGCTTGGTCCCTAAGTCAGTGCGCGTGAAGGTGGACAGACTCTGTCCATTCATGCTCGACTGACCAGTTGACTTGAAAGTCCCACGGCCGCCGTGTTTCAGCTAGCTAGTGACTATCTAGAATTGCAGATTCTGGTGCTTCTTCACCTTCCCAAGCGGTCTTGGTGTCAGCCCTTTCAGGTGAAGTGATTCGAGGAGAAGAGCAGGACTGATTTGTAGAGGTAGGGCCGGTAGGGTAGGAAGATGTACGTAGAATAAGGAGGACGACAAAAATAGTTACAATTGTGGAAGGCCTCGAACTGGTATACATGATCTACTCTCAACCTGACGTTTGTTGACACAGGGTCCAGTCTTGGCAATGATATTGAATCGGTCGTCGGTGTTTGCCTGAGGATCCAGCAGTTCGTCCAAATCCACGGAATGATATTTGGTGTGGGAACAAGGCAGCGAACAAGTAGTACTCGTAGAATTTTGAGAGAATTGAATACTGTACTTGTACATAAAACTGGCCACTGTGATCATGTCAATGTCAATGGCTGCTGTTTGTAATCTACCAGTTGGGAAGGAGGTTCTCAAAGGTGATCGATCCAACCTAAGGTTTACAGAATACAAATTCCTTTTAGTTGGCTGTTGCTTCAAGATGATCCAAGCGAGGGTAGAATGGGTTTCACTCACGGTTTGAGCAGTTTGCGTGTTTGTTGAAGCTTACAAATTTGTGCTGTGTTGCCAGAATCTGCAAAATTGGGGGCAATGGACACAAATGGCTCCAAGCGCGCCCTTCTCTGCGCGTGCTCAGGCGTAGTCGGGTCATTTTATAGAGCGTCGGAATAGATGCAATTCTGAGACGTGACTAGGCTGGCATAGGCCATCACTTCTGAGCTAAGTCATGACGTTCTCAAACAATCTCTGATCGTTTTTTGCAATGCATAATGTCCATCGTACTTCCAAGAGGTTCGCCATTTTGCTGTCTCACGGTCGTGCAGTTTGGTGCAGTCATTGCCCCTACGTTGTTGGCCCAGTTGCGCAGATTCTTCAAGTGCCAATATGCCACATTCAGTAGGACTTCAACAATTTGGAGAATTGTAATTAGATCCCGACAACAGGTGCAATTAGTGTACTTAGTACTTCAATGCCCGCTTTGCAGCCACAATTTTATAGTTCCTTTGCACCGCGCATGTTGTTTGGGTGTTTTTGTCAGTCATCATTTGGATAAATGTGCAAGACAGTAATTGATTTTGCCAGCTGCAGATGCCACTGCGTACTGTGAGTTGTAAGGATCTCAGACTTTTCCTTTGTCCTCTTTGGCGGTTATGACGACAATGTGCGCTGGACACTGCGAGCATGACCGGACTTGCTTAGCCAAATTCTTCCGAAATGTACTCGGCTTGTTTAATACTGAGTCCGAGCAATCAGATCATTGGTCCAGTACTGATACTTATAATTGGTCCAGATATTCATTTGACGGCAAACTTCTGATACTCCGCCTGTTGCCCACGTTGGACATGAGTAGTTTGTTGTTTCCTTTTCAGACCCATGGCTGTAAAAGCGATCTCGAAGTGGTTCTGGATGTCACTGTTAGATCTGTACTGTTAAATCGGTTGAATAGATCTTAGACCCTTGTCGGCATGTTGACGAAGGATACTCAAGTACTCCACCCGTGAAAATTTGGAAGGCACGCCTGGTGGCAGACCAGTGGAGATGGTATCTTGGATGAAGCCTAGATGGGCCCAAGCAAGGCTGACAACACTAGGATTCGTCAGGCAAGTCTTTGCTGCTGTTGAATCAGACTCATCAGAGGTGCTACAAATAACCTTATATACATATCCTACGAGAGAGACAAAGGCTTGAATCCTTTTTCCTTTGCTCGATGGTCACCAAGCTAGAGCAGCCACCTGAAGGGGGAAAGATTAAGAAAGTGAGCCGGTAGGGTTGGCTGAAGTCAGTTTCTGCGAACGAAGTGAGGATCAGACTGCAAAACATGCTTTTGGGTGCAGGTGAAGTCTATTTAAGGGTGATTTGGTGATGCAGAACATGCAAATACAACTGCAGCAGCATTATTTGCACTAGCACGGTCCTGTTGATACGGAGGTCGGCATATAGAGCCACAACTAGCAGAGGTAGCAGAGGTGGTGATGAAGCCAATGGCCAATGAGCCAATAAGTTTGATAAATTCCACAAAACTAAGCACGCTAAGGACTGGGGAAAACACTACCTTCACGTGTGACATCCAAGAGCCTGCCAGTGACCCTCAGCAATTCTGTGATAATTCGAAGACGTAGGTAGCCCAACAGTGCATGTTGACCATAGTGACTTCAGACTGTGTTCGTAAAGCAATTGGTTATGTCTCAAGCGGAGAAGAACTACTGTTGCACTTCGATTGCAAAAGTTGAGTTGTGTTTTAATCAAACATGCAGTCAGCATTGCGTCGCTGCTTGTTTCAGGTACCCTTTGATGGAAGCACCACACTGCTCGGTTGGTTTCACTTTGACAAACGGTTGGAGCATGCAGCTGCTGGTAAAATATGCATGGCCCCGGCTGAAAGGCTGCGCTAGGTTAGGTTCTCTTGGGAGTGGTGCCAACCTGGATTTGGATCCTGTAGAGTGCAGAGTATAGTAGGAGATTGGTTGCAGCTGTAGACTGTGGCAAACGTTTGAAATTTGAAACTCAATGTGTCCCCACTTATGAATGAATGTATTGGATAGACAGACAGGTACAGTAAGCTGTAGACAGTTTAGTGGAAATGGACAAAGTGAGGGTGGAACGAAAGTTTGAGGGCACCGAATCGCTCCCCCAGACCAATTATTGTGTCTTTAATGAGTTGAACATTTTACCATTAAAGTATCTAAACAGTTTTTTTTGATAACGTTTCCAGCCGATGTTCACATGCAACATTCAAATGTTTGTGGCAAGTCTCAAATAGTCCACAAGGTCATCACGGTCCACCGTGGCCATCAAAGCTTGAAGTCCAAGCAAAGGAGTATCCATGCCACTGCCTGGGGTTACAATGAGCCACACAAAACAACAGACCCTTACAAATCACGTAGGAACAGAGGAACACTCAGTTAAGGAACAATCGCTCATATATATAGCCAATGGATGAATTCCACGAACTCAATGTTTTCTGCAATCCTCAACTGTGATGATTCCCTTGTGCAAGAATCTAAGGTAATCGAGTGTGAGCCGTTCGATTGAGTGTTCAGCTTCAGTTCATGAGCTTTGCATTTTCGCTTGTCGCTTGCATCTCAAGGGATTCCTTCAGCCAAAGCACCTTGAAAGGTGCTCAGCTACCGCAACCGACGCCGCCATAGGTGGTAAAAGTGTGTTGATCGAAGCACGCTGCTTGGGAGATTGGGTAGTGACCTTTGTTTGGATTGCACGACATCAGGAGCTTCGTTTTCGTGTTGCACCTTTGGTTGGACCAAGGCTACCATTGCAATCTCTGCATTGGTAGCGGAGCCCGGCGGTTCACACCGCTGGGCTCCAGGAGCGTTGTGGGACCTTTGGGATTGCTTCTCCCCATCGGCACTTCTTGTTTGAGGAGACCTTTGTGATTGAGCCCCTAGATTACAAGATCATTTGAGGAGCACAATGACCACGATGTCATGTCAGCTAAGGAAATCGTGGTTTCCTGGATGGCGAGCCACAGACATGGGGTCATCGAAAACTGTCCAAGAAACGTGAGGTCAAGTACTTGCTTTCATTCCTGAAGGAGAAACTATGTCGCACCGCCGTGCCAGATGCAGGTGCGAGAGTAGAAGAACTGCTGATCAAGCTCAGGCGACCTCCACAGCATTGCTACTTGATAGCTATCGCAAACTGCAAAGATCACCTCTCGAGCAGGAGGTGAAGGTGAAGAGCAAGAGCATGAGTCGACATCCCCAGTTCATCCTGAGGAGCACTACGCTCGCCAAGAAGAACCTGAAGACGAGTGGAAAGGAACTCAGTCAGTGGCGTTCCTATCATCGCTGGACCGATGAAGAGTGGAAGGAATGGTATTTGGAGGAAGAATAAGAAGACGGATCCTTTGGCGAAGATTTGCCATGGGATGAGCTTGGACAAGATGCGCCAGATGTTTCAAGGAGGACAACGAACCAGGCATTCTGCTCTCTATTGTCGTGCCATGGCAAAAAAAGTCTGGTATCTTACCAGGATGATCTATGAAGAACGCAGCAAGTGGAAAGTCGAACCTGGAGAGCTTCATTTTCTACATGATGAACCAGATGACATCATGGCCATGCACCCAGAAGGAGATCCAGCCTCACTACGAGGGAGCGCCGATGAGGAGCTTTTGAGATGGGCCACGAATCTTTTGAAGCTGCACCAACGGCTTGGCCATCCATCAAGTCATCAAGTCAAGCATTTGCGAGAATGCTACGTGATCGTGGAGCAACTCGCAAGATGTTGACCATTGCAGGCAACTTGCACTGCATGGACTGTGAAGAAGCAAGAATGCAGAATCCTCGGCAGACGCCGGCAACCCTTGAGACAGCAGAGCATCTCTGGGAGACCATCCAGGTGGACAACGTGGAGTACACCTATGGAGAACAGGTCTTTCATTGACAGCTCATCATCTGCGAGAGCAGTGGTTATGCTGCAGCCGCTCATTTGAAGACCCACCACGTGAAAGAGTCACGCAGCCCATCGACTCAAGAAGTACTTGATGGCTTGATGAAGGCCTGGATTCAATACTTTGGTTGTCCTAAGAACATCAAGCTGGACAAGGAAGGTGCCCGCCGTGGACGTGACTCGGAGGCGTGGGCAGACCAAAATGGAGTGGCGTTGTTGTTTGTGCCAGCTGAAGCACACGGTCAAGTTGGGCTCTCAAGTACAAGCTTGTTCGACACCTTCGTGGACAAGAGGATGATCCTACGACGGCAACTTGGCCCGTTGGCCCTTGATAGCAGCACGCAACAACATGTACAAGAAAGGTTGGTTTTCCCAGCGCCAGTTCAGTGGGTGTTCGGCGAAGAGATGACAGACTCCTACTGACTTCACGAAGGTCCTGATCTACCCTTTGGGTCGTCATTGAACTTGGACCAGAAATTCCAGGGACGGCGGGAGATGAACAGACAAGCAGAGACCAAATACAACTCATGGACCTTGAGAAACTGGCCAAAGCCACAAACATGAAAACTACCTTTCCCGTGCATTTCTACCCTGGTGAGCTCGTGTACTACAGAAGATTCCAGGCACCGAGAGAAGGAAAATCACACCAAGCTCGACGTTCCTCAGGTCGCAAGATGGTATGGTCCGGCAAGAATTCTTGGCCTGGAAAAGTGTGAGACAACCTCATCGACTGGCATGGATATCAGTCAGGGCAGACTCAAACGGGCCCACGCAGATCAACTTCGGCACAGCTCAGAGCTTGAGAAGATGACCAATCAACAATTTGAGGATTCTCTGGCTGTGCCTTAGATTATTCAAAGGGTTGGGTACTCATTCTTCTCTAACAATCTTATGTTTCATAACAATCGCTCTGGCGTCCCGGAGTTGAAGAAATTTGCAGAGAAGAGATTTTGAAGAGATCTGGTTCAAGATGGCGGGACGTCAGCTGGTCCCAGTGCTCTCAGAGGCTGCAATGTCGTGGGAGGAGGCTGAGGATTTGGCCATGTGGACCCGGAGTTGCCAAAAACAGACTCTGGATGGTGTGGCGGTCTTTGAGCAGTCTGGGTCGTTGAGCGGTGGCTTCAACGAGATGGAGCAGCAAATGGAGTCCTTCGATGTGGCAAAGGATGAACACCACAACGTTCACACCCATGACGGGTTGGTGATTTTGATCACCATGCTAGCCCGGTGCAAGGAGAGGGCAGTGGTGTTACATGTCGGACGTGGATTTGGCTAACCTCTGGAAGCACACTGCGATGTTTAGTGGCTTGTCTTTCCGATTGAAGCAGTTCCTTTTGCAACATCTTCAATTGTTTGCTCGTTGTTTTGAGTTGTTGACACGACCACCTTAGCATTAAATAGCGGGCTATCCAAATAGCGAGCTATCCTCCCCTTGGCGCTTGAATCAACTCAGGCCACGTGGGGCCTTGGATCCTCGAAAGCAGTGGTCGCAGCCAATGCAATGGCAATTGTGATGGAAAGCATCATTCTGCCCCTGTGCACGCTGTTGGGCCTGTTCTATGTCATCGAGCAGCCAAAGTCCTCCAGCTTTTCAAGTGGCCAAAGCTGAAGCAAAAGCTGAGTGAGGATGAATGTGCCACAGAGCTCATCGATCTTCAGCGCTTTGGATGTGTCACAGAGAAGGTGCTGAAGTTGGTGGGCACGTGGCCTGGGATTAGAATCCTCTACTACTTCTCCCAGCGCCTCTCGAAGCACCCAGCAGCAGCCAAAGCTTCGAAACCGTCCGGGAGGCCATGGGATGAAAGAACCCAACTCTTTCACACTTCACACTTTGTTTGGGTCTATGCAGTAAAGCAAAAACGATTTGTTTGACCAGAGCTGTTTCGGCTAAATGCTTCGAAATGCATGTTAGGAAGAAGTTTGGTGAACAGAGCTTTTGACGGTTGATGGACGTTTTAGGATTTTTTGTTTTAACTACAAAGCAACACGCTAAGATCGAGAGCTTCATGTTATAATATAGTTGTGCGGTGAAGCAACGCAGGTGGATCACTGCAACAGAGTTCACAGAGTACACAGCGCTGTACCCCGCGGCTTTTGGATATGCTGTGGCAGTTGCTCACTCCATCGTGGACGAGTACAACAATTCGACTTCGCTGGACGCTGCCAGTATGGTTCTTCAGTGGCGAGACAGAATCCAGGAGCGAGTTCCAAGTCCAGAGGAGGCTTTGCAGTTGGCGCAGGCAGAGATAGAGACTTGAATTTGTTCTTGGCAATCATTTGACTCTTGAGTCAAACAAGGTTGCAAGGGTGAAAGAATCATTAGGTAAGAAAGTTGTGTGCGTGTTTTTTGCGGGCATGGTATTTTCCACAGCCGGCAGCTTTCTTCATTGATAACTGGCTTTGTTTACTGTATGTTTTCTTTTGTCTTCTTTCATTCAATGCATTGGCCCACATTGCCTGAGGCTCGATTCAAAGAAGCTGGCAAATCCATTGACGTGGACCCGGGTTGGCCTGGCATTGAAGATTTGTTGACAGAGAAAATTCCCATCTCTGTCCAGAGATAGTGGCTCAAGGCGAAGAGGGATGCTGAGAAGGGCCAGCGAGAGTCCACGACTAGGAAGCCTCGGAAGCCTAGAAAAGTCTCTGTGGACAACAAGACTATGGTCAAGGAGCGTGGGCAACCTACGCTGGACGGATGCATCCGAAGGACATCACCCTACCCCCATTTGCGGGAAATCTAAAGTGGTTCTCAGGGTTTCTGTGGTCGACACTGGTCCTTATAGCCAATTGTCAGTGTTTTGACGGTCAAATATTTCAACGTCACAGAAAAACAAACAAGTCAAGCAGCAAGGTTCATCATGAACCACACGCGCCGCAAGTGAGACACCCAAACTTGGGGCTCGCAAGGACAATTAGAATCGCTTAGGTCCACGTGGGGCAATTAGAAGTAACTCGCTTAGGTCCAAGTGGAACAATTAGAATCGCTTACGCCCACTGGGTTTAAGCAATGCGTGGTTTTGAGGGGCAATGT